AATGACCAGAAGGAAGAACTGCCATTGTCTCCAGGGAACTAGTGAGATACAACATGGACAATGCAGTGGTGGTAAAGCCAAGGAGATCCAGCTTTATGCTGACAAACATGACATGCATAGTTTTTTCCAGGCACGAACATCGAGTCCATCCCCCAACACTCAGAAAGGGGATCCCTCACTAACCTGTCTTAACCCTAGGAGAAGTCTGGCATGCCATCAAGGAAACCAAGAACAACAAGTCTACTCAACCAGATGGCCTACCTGGTGAAATCTACAAGGCTGCTGGTGAGAAACTGGTACTGAGATTCTGTGAATTTATTCTATGAAATTGGAACGATTAAGAGATTCCAGGGGACCTGAGTAATGCCAACATCATGACTAGCTTCAAGAAAGGAGATACGTCTGTGTGTGGGAACTATCAAGGTATCACCGTCCTTTCCACAACAGGGAAAATCCTTTCCCACACCGTCCTGAACTGTCTTTTACCTCTTGCTGAGGAAGTCCTGCCAGAATTTCATTGTGGTTTCAGACCTTCCTGTGGGGCAACTTGTCACAACCCAAGGGTGTGATTTTTTGTTTGTGTGCGCTTCGGCACTGCTAAATTATTTTCCCGCCGTTTGTAGCTTTCTTTGCAGGGTGCATTTCTTCTTTGCTGCACAGAAATGCACGTTGCAAGGAGTTCCCGCCATTTGTATTCAGATTTGTGCCCCACTATTGGCCAGTTCTAAATTATTCCTACGTGGCGGCTAGCGATTGGCTTGCTAGCCGTATAAGAGGCTTGAGTGGTTTCCGCCCAAGTTGGAGGACTCCACGAACATCAGGAGGAGGAGACTTCACGTCTCGTGAAGATCTCTAAGCGCTGCAGAGCCTATTGGACCCAGCGTGAATATCAAGAAGACAACAGGGGTCTGGTCAGCCTCTCGCCTCTCCCCATCGCCAAACGATCCCTCGACGTACCCTTCCCTGCGTGCAAAGTTCCACGGAGCCTAGCAAACTTCGTGTGAGTGAATTGTGAGTGAATCCAGAGCTCTGTCCGAGTCCTTAAACTGGGACTTAAGCGAAGTATTCCTGGAAGTTTTCCAGCCTGCACTGCAACCATCTACGGTGTAAGTAAACAATTTTAAACAACCATTAAGCATCCGTGCCTAATTCTAGCATGCTGCCTGCCTTCCCCGACCCAGCGTGTCCGGGCTGCTGGCCACAGCCCGCCACGCGAAAAACGGGCCTCGGACTGCTCCCGGCCCGCACGTGGCGACGAGGATGGGATCAGGGGAAAGCACACTGGAGCTAGAATTAGTTAAGAACTGCCCTTGGCGCAGTGGAAAACGCCAAGTAGAAAACCTTATGGAACTGGAGGCGCATATTGCTTACCACCAGGCGAGCGGAATGGGTGAGAGATTTATCAGCGGATGTCTTTCGCTGAAGGGAGAAGAGGGAGCTTCCGAAGATGGAGCCCCGAAAGAGAGGGAAGTGTATTTGCACCCCGCGGCATTCGGGTGTATAATG